ATATATATATATATATATATAAGTGCACCATATATCATGCAATTGCAGCACTGATCATGCATACGACTAGTATTTCATTCAAATTTTTTTTTCTTTTTTATCAAAATGCAAAACATAAAAAAATCTTATTACTTAAAATTATAATTATTTGTTGCAAATAAAATGATTTTTAGAAAAATTGTTTCTCGTTTAAGAAAATGATCGAAGCACTATCTATAATAATGATTATTATTATTATCAACACGTTAAAAAAAGCAAGCGTCTCTGATGAAATACAAAAGTTTAAATTAATTAAATAAATTGATTTATGATTTGATGATTTACTAGTATAAACACGTTATTGTGTAAAAGCAGTCTGCTTAAGCTATCGTGAGATATTTATTTTTTCACGAAAAACTCGTTATAGCTCTTCGATACAGTGCTGTTCCTTTCCACATTATAAATTGTAAAAAGGACACGGACTGATCATCACTGTCCTAGCATTGAAAGAGATTAATTTATAAATTAACTTAGATCAGTGTCTTGTCTACCATTAGGCTGATCGGTGGTTTAACATGCACAACTGCTCTCCGATGATTTCAGTTCAATTGGTGTGTCCTTCAGAACTACTTCTTGCACTACAGGTTTAGCAACACATTAAGGAAAACACAAAAAGATAACAGAAAAAAAAATGAAATAGTTAACAATGTTAAAAAATGATATCAAAAGTAATGATTCAAAATGATTCTTAGAAAATTAATATTTATGAAAAATTTTGAAATTCTATGAAACATTTAACTTTTGAGAATTCAATAAAATATTTTAAAATTAAATAACCAAAAAAATTTTTATATAAGATTATAGTAATAGATTAAAGTTAAGCATTTTTTAAAATAAATAATATTCAAATTATGAAAAAAATTTTAAAAAAATAAAAAAAATTGAGGATGAAGGACATGTTTTTTAGTGCTATATTTGAAGAAAGAAAAATCCCTGAAATATAATTATGTATATGTACCATGCAAATGTGCATATTATGTATCTTACACAAAGGATACTGTCTTCAGGTGGTTTATTTTCAGTGGAATCCATGCCTGGTAAAGCTGCTGCTACTCTTCTAAAGAGCTGATCAATAAATATAATATGATTAAAGCATTATGATTTTATTTAATAATAAAAAAAAATTTTTAAAAATAAAAATCTATAATAGAATAAAAACTTACTTGTTTTACATTATATCCAGCTTTAGCACTAGTTTCAATAAACATTACGTTTAATTCTTTAGCTTTTCTTTCACCTTCTTCCATTGATACTTGTCTTTTATCACCCAAATCTGTTTTATTACCCACTAACATAATAATTACATCACTTCCTCTTTCAGTCCGTACATCATCAATCCATTTTGATGTTTGATGAAATGAATTTGCATCTGTGTAAATAATTCACTTGAGCTGATGCAATATCATAGTTAACACTTTGTTTTCATTGCTAATTAAACTTACTAGTAATATCATATACCACAACTGCAACAGTAGAATCTCTGATATAACTAGGTATCAAAGATCTAAACCGTTCTTGACCTGCAGTATCCCATAATTGTAATCTTACAGTTCTATCCTCCAGATACATAGTTTTGCTTAAAAAATCTATACCTATTGTAGCCTGTAATAAATAATATTATCTTTCTAATACTTTCTATAGAACATATTTTTATTTCATTATTCTTCTAATATCATATTTAAAAAGAAACAATAGAATTTCATTTTTTAATAAATTTACAAAATAAAATTTGATGATAATCTTATGATGTATCTATATTGTGTTCTTTTAACTTTGTTAAGAAAAAGTCAATATCTTGAACTCCCTACTATCTGTCCTACTAACATTTATCCTTGCCAATTGATATTAAATACTTTATAGAATAAATATATATATTTGTCATCAAAATGATAATTAAAATGAATGAAATGAATAAAATGAAAGCAAAGATTGTGACATCATTATAAGGTCATTGAAAAGTATGTCAATGAAATATAGATGATTTCAAAATAAAATATATATTATATGATGAAAGAAAAAGCTGAGAATTTATTATATTTAATATTTATATTATGTTTTAATCTATATTATTAGATAAATTAATGTAATCTTTGTGACAATATTATATTTCATTTTATATATTCATTCAAAGTTATGTGTAAATGTACATATACATAAATATATGTATATCACAAAACTATTAGTTTCATACCTGATACGTGTTGTCAAAGCTGTCATACATAAACCGTGTGATAAGAGAAGTTTTTCCAACTGCAACATCAAATCACACGATTAATGCAAAAAATTTACTACCTATTGTTTACAAAAAAACAAAATGCCAAACAAAGAATATTTTTTCAGAATGTAAAGATATAATAATGAATTATTAATATAATTTAAAATCATATTATAGATATTCATAGAAATATAAATTTATAATGAAATTATTATTTTTTCTTACATAAAATCAGAATTATTTGTATATTTTCATTATGATTAGATTTTATGATCGCGATATACCAATATATTTTATAGTTGTTTAAAATGAAACAAGTATACTACATAACGATACGATTAAATGCATAAATCATGAATTTTTATGGTTAGTAGATATTTCTATAAAAATGATAGGATTTTACAACAAATCATATATAAAATTATTAATATTATTAGGACAGAATATAATATTAGGATGGTGATAATAAGAATGACGCCAAATTCGATCGCAACGATAAAGTTGAACAGTGACTAGAAATATTGATCTATAACCTAGAACGGTCATTGAAACCAATGTATATGATAGAAATTTTCATATTTGATATGCGAGAAATCAGTGACAAGACAAAACCGACACGAACATCGCCAATATTGATCCAAAATCAACGGAAGTATAAGTGGAAAATACTTACCGCTCTGTTCACCGAGAAAGACAAGCTTAAATTTACGCAACGGGTTTCCAAAATCACCCGAAGACGACATTTTTTATATTATAGAACTATTACGCAATGAGTTAAAAGTGCTAAACACACAAGAATAACTTAATTGATGCAACGAGTCATTAATTGTCACGAGAAATCATTTAACTTGACAGATCGAAAAGCCACTCCTTCCTTCACTTGCAAGGCAGCCACGTTTAACTGGGAAGTGACGTCATTGGTTAGTTACTAGTTTTGTCAGGTTCCAATCATATTCCTGTAGATGGCGTTGAAAAATTTAAAATATATGAAATGGAATATATATCTTTTATTATAAAAAATATCGATAAGTTGCTAACATAATTAAGAAAAAAATGTGATTATCAAAAAATGAATAAATTATTTAAATTATATTGCTCAAAAAATAATTATGTTAGATTCAAACTGCATAAAAATAAATTATAAAATGTTTTATTAATAACTGCATTAGATAAAATTTGTACAATCTCAATATAATGGATTCCAAGATAATTAAATATTGTTCTCGAACAGCCTGTAGATTTGTTTCAGAAATATATCCAGAAATTATAGGATCTTTCATAATACATCTAGAAAAATATTTCATAATATTGCAATAGTCAATAATTTTAAATGTTATGTACATATTATATACGCTCGTACACACATTCAATATATACAATATAGATATAAATGATATTTTGATATTTTATTGTTGATGAAGTCTATTATTATTTAAGTTTCTGTAAGGATCTTCAACCACAATAGAATTGCAAAGTAAATCATAAACAGTTCTATTAAATCTGAAGAAAAATAAGGCAAAACATATAGGAAATAAAAATGCTAAAATCATATTTTTCACAATTGATCTTCCAATTGCTAATGGTAAACCTAAATCTGTTCCTGGAGAAACAAGTACAACATCAGGATCATCAGGTCTATCAACAGGTGTAACGCTACGACATTGAACAACTCTTAATCCCATCATGGATTTTCCAGGTGTTGCACCACCAATACGACCATTTACACCATGTTGAAGCCAAAATGCCTGAAAAAAATATTGTTATTGAAATATCATTTAATATTTCTATTAATAACATACTCACTTCAAAAATGCACACTATAACACGATGAATTATTTCTAATACTAATATACCATATGTCATTTCTAAAGCCATTTTATAATCAATTCTCAAATTTGCCCGTACCAAGTCTAGATCATCTATATCTCTAGAATAAAATATAATGATAACAAGTCAAGAAAAAATAAAATTATAGAGGGTAGAATTATTTTACATACATGAAATCAAAAACATCAATAGCAAAGAAAGTAATGGAAAACTTCAAAAGAAACAACATTGTTGAATCTATAAACTCAGCTGCAAATCTCTTCCATATTGGAGGTATACGATATTCAAAGCCTGAAAAGATTGTTTTCTTAAACTTGAATAAATAAGATAATCATAATATTAAATGATACAGATGAAAATGTATGTTTCAAAAATACTGCATCATAAAATCACTACAAAGATAAATAAATCAATTAAACATTATAAAAATAATTAAATTAAATAAAATGCAGTACTTTTGTAATAAAAGCACATATAGTACTAGCTGAACCTCTGTTGGAATGTGATGGACACAGGAGATATCGTTATGACCTTCTACCTTCAGCTCCAGGAGGTTGAAATGGAGGTCCTACATGATCTTGAGGCCTTCTTTGTCGGAATGGATCGTTCTCTTGACCATTTGTGCCAACAATTAACCTATGTGTATTTGCTACATTTGATACTTGTGACGAGAATGATGGTACACCTATAATTATTCTATTTTATAGAATAATTTCGTTACATTGATAATATAATAATTTATAAATTAGATATTAATTAAATAAAAACAATATAATTATAATCTTACCAGATGATGGATTTATTATTTGTCCAGACATTAAATAATATGGAAACATTGCAGCCATACTCTGCCAAGCATAAGCTTCATGTAACCATTTTTCTAATTTTTTAAAATATTCTAAACGTTCTTCTGCAGCTATCATTTGTAGTTGATCTTTATTTTCTTTGCATTTATCCTCTTTTGTATCTTCATTTTTATCATCTGCCATATTTTTGTTTCGTAAGAATTGATCGGATATATGTATTTACAATATATATATGTATATATATATATATTGTAAATTTTATCGAAACAATAATTCCGTTTTAAAATTGTACAGTGTTCAAGTCGATTTGTTTAAAACAATAAAGATCTTTCGTTGCTATCAAAAAAAATAACTTATATTCATATAAAACAACTACTTTAACTTTCGATAGAAAAAAGCAAGCTAAAATAATACTGGAAAATCACACCACAATATTAATAACAAATAAATGAAGTAATCGTGTACTGCCAGTTTTACATCCACGTAATCCTTGTCTTCATATATTAGACAGGGATACTTCAATGTAAAATTTTGCTTATTCTAAGATAATGTGTGCAATAATAAATAATTATTTATTGATTTTTAAATTTCGAAGTAATAATATAAATGTACTCATGACAACAATATTATATTTCTTTTTGATGAATTTTTTTCTTAAATTTAACGGTCAGAAAATCGTTAAAAATTTATTATTGGCCAATATTTATCTCATCCAATTAAATTCATCAATGTATTACAATCAAATAAAAATGCATAAATACATTAGTAAAATATTTTATTTAAGAAATAAAATATTATTATATAATAATAAATATTGTTAAAAAATTTTACATATAAAAATAATTTTCAAGACGCAAATAATTCAACATAACGAATTCATAAATTTGTATAATAAAATTTTAATAAAAAATATAAATTTTATTTGAAAAGAAAGTAAAAAATATAAATTCAATATAATAAATTTTAATATAAATAGAATATTGGCATCGTATTATCGAAGAGAAAAAGTTGAAAGATAAAATATAAAATGCCAAATATGAATAAAAAATTACTATTTAGTAACATGACTGAAATGTGGAAATGAAAAACCCTAGTACGTTTTGTAAACCAGGTGGCAGCGTGCAGCAGTTCGCATTGCGGCGCTAGCTTCTCAGGACATGACGTATTCGAAGCATTCGTGCAGTAATCACGGTCAGAGGACGTTTCTGACGACTCGTCTCTTTCTACATTTCACATTTTCGAAATAAATAAAAGCAAAGCGAGTAGGTGTCGTAAAGCAGTGTGTCGTGCTGAAAAGCTGTGTGCGTTCGTACGCGTTACGAGTGACATTTGGTCTAGTCTTGAAGAGGGTGTGGGCCACGACGCCAGAAGAAACATTTAGGTAAGATCACATTAAATTTAATCATGTAATAACATTTTCGTTAGTTATATTATCGAACATTTAACCAGAAAATAATACGTACAAAAGATAATTATCAATTTTGTGACAAATACAGTGTTTTTATGCAGAAAAATCGGACTGCGGCGATTCCTCAGTCACGCGTCAATTCGATGGAATGTCGCGGTAGAATTCCGAGAATACAAGCGATGATTGCATTAAAAAATCTCCTCTTTCGCCGACATTGTAAACAATTGTTTAAACGCAACACAATGATCATGAATATACAAATTTCATCATCAATCGCATTTTATATATCAGCGACAAACATCGACGAGTTAAATCAATGCATGTGGATTGGAAGTTCGAATTAGTTACAGTTTCAAACAGAGGTTAAGTTAAATTTGAAAATAATCTATCAAGTATATTTTCTCAAGTATTTTAACATTAGATACATTGCGTTCTAAAACGGAGCATATATTATGAAGTAAGGAAATAGTAAAACGCTTAAGTTCGTGAATGAAATTATGATTATCAAAATTGTGATTCGTAATCCACGTGCCGTTAAAATTCTGTATATTTCAGCAAGAAATGAAAAAAAACCGTTGGTAAACGAGGTCGACAAATATCGAACCTAGACAATCGTGCGATATTGCGTTAATGTTCTAAGTGTTGATGGATCACTTAAATCTCCTTTCGTGGGTTAGTACGCAATTTTTCATCAACCCGTTTTTAGTACATATTCTATGACTATCTCGTGAGAAACCTTCCAATAACTATTATGGGAACGCGTAAGTGACGGAGTATCCCGCGCCCCAAAAAAGGAAAAGAGAGAAAAAAAAGGAGAAAGGAACGGACGAAGGAAAGAAAGATATAGAGCGACATGGAAAAACGTTTGTCGGTTTGGTAGAATGCGTGCGAATAAAAGGTAATGCTTTCCCCCAAATCGCGCATGAGGTGAATGGCCGCAGGTCATACAGAGTCCCATTCACGCGTCGTAAGCACCTTTACGTTTTCGGAACCGGTTGCACCGAATTTATGGGAAAATGGCCAAGCACCGTGGGAGTGTGTATATCTTGCGTGGCTTTTCTCAGCCCAGTATCGTTCGTTCCTTTAATTCGAACCGGTCGAACGCGGACAACGTCGCGGCATGTCGCGTCGCATACTAATTTCGCGGCGGACCGGTCAAATTAAGTGTGCCTCTACACGCAAAACGTTTCCGGTTCCGCCGACGTTTCGATAGCTTTGTGAGCATTATTAAAAACTGTCCTCGAAAGAAGTAAATCTTTTTATATTTTAAAAACCTTTCGTTTATTTTAATTCAAATTCTTTTCGCCTTTTGTACAGTTTTAAATTACCGATCAAAATTGATAACTTTTCGTCGTTCGATAACTACGTTTCTCGATAATCATTGTTTCCGTTGATTGAGTTCTTTATCACAAGGGAAGTCTACGATAACGCAAATTGCTCTACTCAATGGCGCAATGATGCGAGATTACAACTCTCATAATACATTATATGCGGAAACACAAATAACGACAAATAACTACGATAGCTCGATTGAAAATTTTATGATTGAAAATAAAATTTGAAAAATGCGTTATCAAACATATAAAAAACAATAAAGAATATATTATAGAACTATTCTGACTTCAAAATTATACATGTAGAGATATCTACTTTGTCATCGATTGTTTCGCATCATTTTACTTCTTATCTACGTCATAAAGCTTATTCAACCGAAGTTTCGAGATAAAATATTCCATTCTTTTTATTTTCGTGCTCATTTCGCATTAATATCTTTGCTATCTAGGAATTTCAAATTTAATCGCACGAGTTTAATTCCTCGAAACGTTACGACAATATACCACGTCGCTAGTTGAAATTGCAGTTATTTGTGATCATCGATTATTAATAATCGGCGAACATTGATAATTTCCGCGTTCTGTCCGCACAATCGAATCGCAAATTAATATTTACATGATTCTATATAGTTCAAACAGACATCTCGCCAATCCGATATATTAAATTGCGCGCTCGTAATTATAATTTATTCGTATCGAAATCGACAAATTGCGGAAACGTTCTCAAGGGAGGCTGGGAGGATTCCTGCGAAGCGTTGCGCGCCAATTTCAATAGAATTTCGCGAAGCATTTCTTAGAATCGAAAAATATTTATTTATTTGTTTCAATGGATTTAAATAATCCTTTCGATATCGATATAAAACGAAAATATAAAAATTAATCCAAGATCTAACATGTTATATTCGGTTATATTGATGAAAAGATACGAAAAGATCCTATTAAAGTGCAATAAATATATCTGAAAGTATTTTACTTTTATTTTTAAAATATCTTGATGTTCTACTAACTAAGGTCGAGAGAATACACTCAACTAGTTATACTTATAATACGCTCTACAAATCAGAGATTGGAGGGTATCTAACGAACGTTCGATTGTTTCCATAACACTCGATAAATTCCACTTCTCGCGGAATTCTACTGCCCCATTCCACGTTGCAACCGCATCTCGCTTTCTACTCGCCTCGTTCCGCTCGACAAAAGGAACCAACATCACAGACGATCTTTTCTCCCGTCCAAATTCCATGGATTCCATTCTCGATTTTCAATCCTGGCATTCCCGCCGATTTCGACACCGATCTCGATTCGCCAAACTATCGTGAATCGGTGATCGATACGCGACTGCTGTAGGCTCGAACAATGGGCTCGAATCCGTGGACTTGAAACGGGCCGGAGAATGAAAAACGCGCACGATTTACAATGGACAGTGATAGGTTTCGAATCTCTCTCTCTCTCTCTCTCTCTCTCTCTCTCTCTCTCTCTCTCTCTCTCTCTCTCTCTCTCTCTTCGTGGAGAGACGAAGTGACGAATAGAGAGATCCTTTTTGTCACTGCAACGAATTTTAACGACCAGTTTGGATTAGATTTCGCTTCCTGGAAATTGGCTATTCGAGAATGGAACTGTACGATCGATGGCTAGTTAATTAGCGGAAACGTAGTTCTGATTCTAAAAGGTAGTTTCGTATGGTTCGTGAATAGCTTAATTAGATCCTGTCTGAAGGGAAATTCTGAAGAACGAACACAAACGTGAGATACCAGTGTTCCTCCCTTCTTTGATATTCGTTTCAAAAGCGTAAAATTGGTAGGCGTCGACTGGTAAAGATCAGAAACGAGTCAAAATTATGCATAATATTTAAAATGACTGTGTGTAGAATTATGTTATAGGGTTAAGTGTGATGTAAAATGTATTCGGAATCGAAAGTTCGTTTTCTGAGTTGAAATATCGCGAACATGAAAAAAAAAAAAAAATCAGAGAGACGTTTGTTTATTAGATCGTCAATATAGAGAGTGAAGCTTTTCTGCCTATTCTGACCAGTGTAATTCCAGTAATGGTATCACTTCGGTGAACGGATTCCATTGAAATTCCACGCGTGTGAATCGCGGCGTAGATGAGCTGCATGCTTTTCATAAATGGTGCCGGATGAAATCTTATTTCGATGCTTGGAGAGACGTCTAATTTTCGCTTAGTTTCGCGAAAAATTTAATTTCGATTGCTTTTATGTATATTATATATTAAATTAGATATAAATTATCCATTTCCCTGTTTACCACCATTCGAATTTATTTTTTAGAATTCTTTTTCTCGCTTGTTTTCTGAATAGATTTTTCAACGATTTATAACACGCGATAAATTAACTGATATATTACAAAATATTACGGAAATAAAATTGATGATTAATATTTGTTTTAATTAAGAATAAAAACACAGATTCACTTTTTATTCCACGAATGAGAAATATTTTCTCTTCTACGATTACGATCAATTAAATTATACGAAGGAAAAAATTTCTATTTTAATCAAACTTGCACATATGAAATATTTCCTCGTATATCGTTCGTGCTATACGAGATATGTAATTTCTGAATTTTCCGATATTCTCTAATATTTGTTCAACATATACGCGTGGACAGTGTTGTGAAATATTTCTAAGTTTTTCCTAGCACGCGTGATACTGTGATATCATCGTTTTATAGCCCCCGCCTGTTTGTTTTAAAAACGAATAAATCGTATATAACGCGATCGATTGAACATATATGCGATATTTAAGAAATTCAGTTCTACGATATGAAAAATTTTACCATAAATTATATAACAAATTATATATGTATATATGTACATCTATAATTACGAGCGATAACGAAGAACGTCTTAAAATGCGCAGTGATCAAATGAAAATAATAATTCTTCGTACCCCGATTAACTCGATCAATGAAGCGCATTAAGCATTACGTAAACTACATAACGCGATAAGTCACACTTATATAGTGATGTAATCGTGGCTATTCGATCGAAATTCTAAAAAGAAAATTTCAGAGTTCAAAGTTCGATGGCAAATCATAAATCAATAAGAATCGACGACCTAATTTTTAATCGGTCACGCAATCGATCGTTTCGAAACTCATTTTTCAAACGTATCCGCGAACGGGACGGAATTTTCTTAAAAAAAAAAAAAAAAAAAAAAAAAGAAAAAACCGATCGAATAATTAATAAAACAGCGACTTATTATGTGTGGCCGACATTCCTGAAACGCCGATATACATGAATCACACGATGTACGCCGTGATACGGATCGGCGTTCACGTGTCGGCGAAACGTATCTCGAAATCGACGTGCATCTCGAAGGATGCACGGCTCGTCGATTACGCATACAATGGGCTCTCGATCCTATTGTGCGATCGCGATTTCCTCGGTTCGTCATCGATCACGGACGAAGTCAAATCCGGTCGACCGAGTGAAACGATCATTAGGAACGAAAGGAGTCGTAGCTGTTTAAATAAAATTATCCGAGATAACGGGATGAAAAAAGATGGGGAGAAGTTAAGGCCAAGAAAGTCGAGAAAAAGACGATTTTTATCCCCCCCGAGCTGTGAACGATAGGAACGAGATGCGATTCGAGAACTCGTCTGTCGAGTTAACGTTCCG